TAATATTGATCATAGACTATATAAAAAGTGGACGTAGTCAACCTGACATCACTCACAGGTTTGTGGACTACGATTTTGAAGCCGTTTTGAAGCCATCTTGGTTTATTTGGAACCAGAAGTGATAGGAGAGGGAGGAGCTAAGTTCAACCAAACGCTGAATGAGACATTTTCAGGCAGACTGAAAAGACACTGTGACAGGGTTAAAGTTGTAAGATGAAAACACGTACAACTTCCAGATGGGACGATGTGGTAGCAACCTGTCAATCACATGGTAGCCCCCCCCCCCGCTTAAAACACACCGTGCTATTTTACTCTAAAGCGGACCGTAAATGTAGTTAGTTTAGCTCAGCAATAGGCTGACAGATTAGAGCTGTTGACTCTACTTTGTGCTTCAGTCTAATAATATCTGTTAATTAGCTACCTAATACTTAAATTACACAATTAGTGAAGTCATTACATAATGCATTATTTGTTGTTTGCATAGATAATTGAATGCGTTGTTATGTTAGAGAACTCGGAATTACAACCTGCAGCGTGTTGGTGAACATGATTCCTCAATGGGTCCTGTGACATCCTCCTTCTACAATAGGCACTTATTAGTTATTGTCCTACTGTAGCACGGTAAACACAGGTGTAATTCATTAAATGAATTATCGTCCCATTCTATTTAGTGTGTCACACTGAGCCAGCATGCAGAGCACCAGGGCCAACCTAATGGAGCAGGGCCGTGCTTAATGCTATTAACACCTGTGTTTACCCTGCAATGTCAAATACATTGTATTTGTGGTTGGGTGTCAGCTAATTAACATCAGGGTGTCAATGCTTCAACAGTAGGCACATTGTGTGAGACAGGGAAAATACATTAATACATGAAATGACTAATAATTCATTGCAACTAGACTTTTAGAATTAAGTTAACTGATGTGTGCATACGTTCATAAATATATACAATACTGAAAGACACAATGTTGACTCGGAATTAGTACCTGGAATATTTGAATGACGAATACACCATCTGGTTTACTAAGAGTTGTATTAACTGTGTCATTTAGGCGTGATGTTAATTAATCACCTCGATCTGTGTTTATGCTCATTAATTAACACATAATTAAACAGAAAGCAAGTAATCAACAATGCAGGGACACAATACAGCTGCCATAAAAATAATTAGGATATTAAGGAACAGAAATTATTCAGATTAGGTTAACAGACTAATGGGAAAGCTCATATACCACATACACTTTTATATATATATATATATATATATATATATATTCATATATATACACTGGCGCTGGCCAGCAATTGTAGTTTTTAACATTTTTGGACAGATTATTCATGTTTTAATGGAAGGCTCCTCACAACAGTGCGTCTTGATTGATTGTGGTACTGAAGAGGATGTCGGTGCAGCTGTAAAAACTACCATGATTAATATTTGATATCACTGCTTAGCTTACTGTTGGGGAAAGACAAGAACCATTTTGAATTTTTTAGCATCAAAGCTCCTCTCACTTTTTCGAAATGTTGTGTTGGGAGTTTAAATCATTGCAATGTTACACCTATAAAACAATCTGTACCCAGCTTGATTTCATCGTCAGCGCTCTGCGGCTTTCATTCAGCTGTTGCCGTTTTAATCGCGGTTAATGTCTATTTCACACCACATAACTTTTTTCACTCGCCACCTGCCGAGATCTGAAGCAAATCGGCATTGGACCAATGTTGTGCTGCACCTAAGGTGTGGGATGTTTGCATGAACAAACATAACACAGAGGCTGTGTTCAAAATGGCATACAAATGTAATGCATTGTTCCCATTCAATCAGTATCTACTGCGTACGGCCTCCTAAACGAACAATTAGTGAGATTTTATCTGTAGACTATTCACACTGAAGCATGCTCAAGCGATAGCCGGGCCGGTCTCGAGGCAGTCAGCCAGCGGCTCCGTCACAGCTCCAGAAACGTTGCAGCAAATAACGGGCATTATTTGGATGACCTGACCACGGTTAATTTCCTGAAAACAGTATTGAAACTTAATAATAACCAATAATAACAGGGCCAGTCTCAATGCACCGATTCACCTCAATTCTGTATTATTATGGGTTTTCTCTCTGGTCAGTTAACTCTTGTTGCCATGGCTGCTCTGAAGTCTTCCTCATTGTTGTGTCCATGTTTAAACCCCACAGGGTATTAAAGCGAGGTGCTTAAAGGGTATCTGTTTAAATAACTAATGAGGACAACATGTTTTGGCATTGGTCCAGTATTGAGGAATAATGCAAACAGCAACTGCGAAATGAGCAGCGACAGAAAGTGAGCAGCGTTAATGTACCATTCCGTAAACTAAAAGTGTTGTTTTTGCCACTCAGATTGTTGTTATAAGAGTCTGACAACATTATGGAAGAGACCTTACAGAGGAATAAAACGTGTTTCTTGCCTTTCGCTTGATCCAGTGTGTTTGTTATTGTGCCCGAGTCCCGCTCAAGGAGAAGTCATGTTTTTGCTGCAGGCGGCCGACTCCTTCACATTGTCGAAATCATCTTAATATTCAGGCGTGACACTGGAAATATTTTAGATACCTTTAAGCTACTCTTTCTATACTCCTACACGTCAAACTTTCGGCACTCAGGTTTCCACCGCTGTCTTCCGGCAACTATTCACCTCGCGAGGTCTCAGAACGAGACTTCCCCTTGAGCAAGACTCCATGATTTCAGACACTAATAACAATAACAATGGGAGCCTTATCATGGCAAAAGCAAACATTTAAGTGGACGAAAGTGACGAAGCCAGCCTGCCCCAATAGGATTACATTGCAGGCCATGAGCATGTTGAAAAATACCGAAGTTACCCTTTAACAAACACGCTTTACAGCTCTTCTTTTCATCCTGCTCCAGATCACATTATGTATGATGAGTGACACCACTTCCCTGATCAGATCTTGCATTAATGTGGCACGGAGAGTTAAACTTGAGTCTCCTCCAGTGTGTTGATTGGTGAGGTGCCAGGATCTCAGTCTGAGGTCACAGCCAAAACACTCACACGACAAGTTATGATGACCCATATTTTTAACTGTCCTTAATACACTGACCTTGACTCTGCTCTTTAATGACCACATCAGTCACCATTTACGGCTCAATCAAAATGTCATTCTGCATTATTTATCAGTTAGGGGTTTGCTGGTCCGGCACAAGTCAAATAAAAAGTGGGCTGAATAATAACAACATGGTTCAGAATCACTCCTTGTGTGTATAGAAATGTTGACCCAACATCACTTGAATTGTCTTAAGTCCCTTTGTTCTTTTATTAGTTTGCACAATTATGCCTGCATTTAAATTTAGCAGCATGTCAACGACGGATGAAAGCATGAATCAGCATGTTTCGACTTGTCTTAAATGTCAACGGTATTTTGTAACTACTCACTAAACCATAAAACTCAGTCACATAAAAACATTGTGTGCAGAAAAAGACATTGGGTCTCTTTTTTTGAAAATAATCAAGTTTGAATGAATTAGAACTTTTATGTAATTTGTTTAAATAAATTGAAATGCGACCCACGAATATCCTAAACAATGTTGCTGTTACTGAAGAGACAAACCAACGTCACTCTCAGGTGGTTGTATTTTTACAAACTCTACATATAGCCTCTATTCTTGTTCACACATCAAATCCAAATAATTTTTTACACATTTTGTGCAAACAAAGAGAACAAGAACAGGCTTAGTTTACTGACAGGATATCAGGGCATGCAAGTGGTCGGATGGATTGAATTTCTTATTGAAATTTACATCCAATGATATTTTAAATCTATAGCAGAGCAGTTATAATACATCACATCACTCGGTGTGAAATTTCACAGAGTTTACTGCGATCTTTACTGACTGTCTCTCATTTGCCGAACATTCACATTCAAACACGATGACGTAGGTCTGCGTGTGAGAAGAATCACCTCTGACTTGTATCGCACTCGTAAAACCCCCGCCTTCCCAACAGTAGTCCAGCTTGTCTTGTCAAACGTCCCTCCAGTACAGCTAGACGATAGTTAGAGACCTGCAAGAACATGACTTGGCGATTATACGAACTACGGACATCGTTGTGTCGCCTCTGACAGCCGATGAACCCATTCACACTTTTCCATCCGTCATCACCTCTGTGACACTTCCAAAATGAGTCCTCGGCGTGGGCTTAAATTGGCCAAGGACAGCAGAGATGAAAGATAGCCCATAATGAGGTTTCTCCCTCAGGAATCAATGTGTAGCTTTGTTCCAGGGGCCACTGAAGGTTGTCTGTAAAAATCAGTCTGCTGCAGGGTCCCGGCCTGAGCACCCAGCCTATCTATCACCTTGCCATCTTGTTGATGAACAGACGTCAGGTTCATACAATAACAAAGGGCATTTTTTGGACATACTTTGGTTTTGAATACGTTAATGCGGTAGCTGTGTAGGTGAAGGTTTCTGCGATACTCTTGTGGTGCTGTGTCTTCTGCTGGCCTTGCGTGTTACCTCCCTGATCATTGCGCTGCATAATCAAATCGCCCTTTGGGAATCAGATGACTTTGTTTCAGAGGGAGATAATGCAGAATATGATGATCAGCTAAACCAGGCCTGACCTTGTGTGTCGGCGTAATCATCCCCGGATTGATATGAATCTGTAACATCAAGGATAAGTCATCACTGCTTTTAACTGCTGAGAGCAAAGAGTGCAAATCCATAATCTTTCACATGTTGTACAATGTTTACTTTGTGCCCCAACCTTTACGCCGCAATTCAAGAGGCGCTCCGCGAAGCTAATTGTCATCGAAGATTAATTGAGTCAGAGCTGAAGAAGTTGCGGAGTAGAACTTTGCTGGGAGTGCAAAATGGAGGGTGAATACTGATGTGAATCTTTACAACTGACCACTAACTTGAAGGTGGGAGACGGAGACAACCCGATTAGTACGGTTTGAACATATAGTGAACATACAATGAATCTAAAATGCCTTCTCTCCTTCACTTTCTCCCTTCTCTGCAGTCCGTCTGCTTTGAGGCCAGGCAGCTGTGTGGGGCACCGGGTGTGGATCCTGCTGGCCATGACCCACCTCACCCTGGACTTCTCCGTGTGCAGCCCCCTCAGTCAGGGCATCGGGGTCAAACTCACGCCAAAAGCGGTGCCTCGTTCTCGACCTCGCTGGCAGCCGCTGTGGGACGCGCCCAACAAGCTTCACTGGAGAACGGTGAGCCCGTTGGCCCGCCGCCTCCTCAGCCCTATTCCTCCTCCACCCCAAGACAACAGGGCAGGGGTAGGGCCAAAGGTCAAGGGCCAAAAGCATCGGAAGCCAGCACATAAAGGACAAGCAGCGTGTAAGGAGTGCCGGTTGAGATACTCTCAAATGGAGACGAGTGATCCTTTGGCTGTAATAGCGGGGGCTCCGGCAGCTTTGTCCGGCGGGAGCAGAGGAGACGCAGTGAGGTTGTTACTTAGAGCCAGGAGGCAGCTCAAATGGGACAGCTATGACAAGTCTCAGGAGGGCCGGACTACCACAGTGGCTGGATTTATCGACTGGGGACCCACGGGGACAGATAGCGTAGATGACAACGGCAAACAGGATCCCAACGCAACGCTGTCCACCAAGGTCTCAACCACCACAGTGGCCACAACCCCTAGCACTACAACCAGGCTGTCCCAAAGGACTTTCACTGTGGTCACCACACCAGAGCCCAAGAGGCTAAGCACCACCAAGGCCACTGTCGGCTCCGGGGAGACTGTCAAACCTAAGCCATATGGGGAGACACCAGGTAAGACATAAAACAGCTTCACGGCTCATCATCTAGCATGAATTCCATGGTTACCATGAAATCATTCTTTGAGCTGCCTTTGTTGCATCTTTTTTGCTTCAGTCACACTTAACATTCACCCTTCAATACAGAACAGATGCTGTAAAGATTTCCATTTAGTTCTGTTCTGCAGGTTGTCATTTTAACGAAACAGTAGCTCACTTCACCTTTAACGAGAGACAAATTACAAATTCATGAAATCATTTCTGAAAACAGATAAGAAACCTGCATGGCATACAAATGAACTCCATGGATTTCATCCAGATAAATAAGCTCCTGCTCTGCAAAGTTCATACAACCTCATTTGTTCATGCGATGAGGTATCTAATGGTCAAATTTGTACCACATTTATAAATGGGCCTTTTGACACAGTGTGACAAACTCAAAACAAAGCAACTGAATCAGGAATGTTCAGAGCATCAACTGAAAGTTTGCCATTGTGAAGGTTGAACGGACAAATAAAGGAGTCCTACCATTCTAAAAAGTCAATATGTAAGACTAAACTTCAACAAACTAATATAATAATGATATTTAAAGGGCTAGGGTTGGGGTTAGGGGTTTTCTCTAATTATATTGCAAACTCTTTTCTACCTTTTCACTGTCGCACATGACTAATGATATAATTATCTCTGATATAATATCGCAGCTTGGGAAACCAGCACCTTATTCACAGAGTATGCCCTTGACCACACTGTTCTGCTCGTGCCTGACTTACTGTACATGACCACGTGTGGTTTTTATGGATAGTAGTCCCAGTGCAGCGAACACACAAGGCTCCCAGCCAGACATATTGGATTTACCATTTCATTAAGTCCATGAGGAACACGGCGCTTTAAATGGACCATACAGGTAGCCATAAAACATAAGTCATGTTTAACAACTTGTGAAGCAAGCACTATGCTAATTGCACCTTTCCCCATTTGGTGCATTAATATGAATGTCATAAAATTAGGCAGCTAACAGTAACGGTGATCAAAAGTCCTTGGCCACCTCCTACTCAATTACAATGAAAAATGTCTTAAAGCACAGCGGAATGTGGAAATGTACAGTAGAAGTCCTGCTGTTGAAAAATAGTCCTCGCTCTGAAAAATGAAAGAAATATCTACATTGCCTTAATTATGAAGCCTAAATAAATTCACATGACAATTCCCCTGTGTTGTTTTAGGACTTTACTGTTGTCTCAGTCCAAACACTTGAGTTATACTGTTTGGAGAAATGTGGAGAGTTTTTGGGGGGTTTTGTGGAGCCGTACTGAGATGACCGTACCAACCTTTATAGTTTTGATGGAAGCTTAGCTGCATGCATAGGTCACGTCAAGCTGTGAGTTTGACGGTCCTAAATGGGAACAAGGGTTGGGAAATATGTTCAAAATCAGCCCAACAAATGGAAATTGCCGATATGTTTGTGTTCGAGTTTGCTACGTTCCACAAGTTCTCTCAGCAAATAAATAATCAAAATAAACTCACATTAACTATCTTCCTCATTAAACAGAAAAATACAACCGTACAGCTTCTGAATCTCACTGTAAAACACTCTTAATTCAAACTCGACAGAAACTAAATAAAACTCAACAAACCATGTTGGTCCAACAATCACCGACTCACTGAGTGAAAATATGTTGGCTCTACATGTTGTTTTTACACGCTGCCTCTCTCTCTGGCTTCTGAGCAGTGTCTCATACTTGCTCTTCGGAGGCAGACCATTAAATAAAAATATGAAAATATATTGCAAAAAAACAAACAAAGAGGGATGTCATCAATCGCACATATATTTGTCCAATCATCCAACCCCCAAGCAACCGTTGAAGCTGTTTGCTGTTCATGTTAAAAAAGAGAAACACTCAGATTCTTAACTGGGAACACAAATGATCATAAAAGTAGGTTTTAATGTTAGCAGTATAAATCCATATTGTGCTATGGTGACGGAGGTGTGTATATTGAATGTGAAATGAAGTGGCAGCATGTAATTGCCTTGTCAGCGATGTTGTGATCCCTTTATTTTCATTTGATTGGGAGGTGAGTGCGTGACCACCGAGTGATTCAAGACGATGGCTTCATATTTTATCCTGGAAGGAACTCTGATGAGGAAAAGAGAGGTCTGGTTCCTCAGACTGGGTGCACATTATTATATCAATAAGCAGACTGTCTCATCAGAGCAGATCAAAATAATGTCTTCTCAAAGCAAAGCCCGGTGCTTAAATGCTGCAGAAAACGTTCCTTTTTCCTTCACAACACATTAACCCGTGTCTGCCTCATATTGGCCCCAAGGCAAGACATAATTACCACACCGACAGCACAGCATTGGATCGCTGATAAAAGGAAACTATTAGCGAAGGAGAGGTGCTTCACTCCGTCTCTTTCTTTTATCTTTCCTGCTTTGTCTTTGAAGATGTTTATGGATGCATTGTATTCAATCTAAGTCTGATTATGGAAACTTAGGTAGGAAAAACTAATGATGTTAATCAGGTGATAATCAGAGCTCATAACTATTCAACTCCACTGGATTCCTGCTCTTGTGATTTATTATGGCATGTATTCAGTCCAATCGAGAAATACTTTGTCCCTTATGGAATAATTTAAGCAAAGTGTCTTTGCAAACAACTGAGGAAAGAGGACACACACACACACACAACTCATATCTATTATATAATATAGAGAAACTCTCTCTACTTTATCTGAAATGTTGTGTTGTTTTTTTAAAAGAAAGGATAGTTATTACATTTTCTGGCTTAAAGGATGGCTCATATTTACTTGTACTCACCTTGTACTACACAGTGTAATAACATGGCTACATTGCGGTTTTATCGTGCAATGCGGTCTCGAATGCATCTTGGTTGCATTTACACTTTACTTTTGTGATATCAAGAGAGAGAGAGCAAGGGAAATGTTATTTTGGACCTCGGGAGATCATTTTCACTGCATATTAAAATATTTATGTTAACATCCTTTTAACCTGCATACTTTTAGTGGGTAATTGAGTTGACATAGTCATCCTAATTAAACAGCAAATTCCCAACATCAAATAGCTGCCTCAGTGAAACGACTTCATTACAAATTGTATGGCAGTGCTTAAGACAAAGGGCTACTTCGGCAGTGCTGAAAGAGGTTCTCTGGTTCTTATGGCGAGTGAACTTCCATTTAATTGCGCTGAATTCTAAATTCAGAGCGTATCTATTTCCTCCACACAGCTTCTCAACATGGCAACGGCTGAGCCAGCGGCCCGCAGCACAACATCGCTAACACTGCAAACAACGGCAGAGGTGCTGACAGTTTGAGAGACGGTGTTTACCTGAGGGGGAGCCAGAGGGTGGGCGCTACACTGCCACGACAACGCCGTCGGTCACGATGGCCTTAAGAGCCTTGTAACCGCCTCAAGAGCACAGTGCAGAGCGGAGGCCAAGAGCTAGCCAGTGGGGCACGTTCACGTGCACCGACATACACTCAAAGCACGCGCGACTGATTCGGCTATGTAAACAAAGCACACAGAGGGAGACCGAATGCTCTGCTCGGGTAGACATTACTCCAATATATCTTTATAATGATGCTCTGAATATTATTCAAAGAAACCTTAAAGGCTGACTTTGGGAGTTATGCTGGTGCACATGCACACCATCTCATGATAATGGAGATGTATTACACTGAAAATGTATAAGCGGTTCAAATACTGCTCATACATTCCAACTACGAGTGTTCAAATAGAAGAGGGGCAGGGTGCGAAACATGCAGCTCCGTGAACACCAGGTGATCTGTGCCCCACGTGAACGGGTGAACGTCAAAATCATGCGCTTTAAATACTGTTGCAATTCCTCACTATTTGATTAATCCCAGTAATCAGAGAATCAGTGTGCAAGGGAGCTGCTCTGTGTCCAGCAGCTGTGTCTAGCAGCTGTGTCTAGCTGCTCTGTGTCTAGCAGCTCTGTGTCTATCTGCTCCGTGTCTATCTGGTCCGTGTCTATCTGCTCCGTGTCTATCTGGTCCGTGTCTAGCTGCTCCGTGTCTATCTGTCTCTCTATCCAGCTGTCTCTCTGTCCAGCTGTCGCTCCGTGTCTATCTGCTCCGTGTCTAGCTGCTCCATGTCTATCTGTCTCTCCGTCCAGCTGTCTCTCTGTCCAGTTGTCTCTCTGTCATCCAGCATCTCAGACAGAAAGGCCTCAGCTCAGAGAACACCTCTGGGAGAAACGCACCCAGCCACACTGACGTCACAGCTAATTGTAATCTAAAAGCGCTGATGTAGAAATGACAGGTGACACAAAAACATGTCTATTATGGGCAGAACTTCAACCAACAATTACTATGTTTATATACTATGGAACTCAAAAATGTTAGTATCTACTTATCCCGTTCAGAATAGTGTGGAGCCTATTCTGTATGTTGGGTTCCTTTTATTAATAGCAAATACGTTACCTGGATATGACCTATTTCTGTTTCCTTATACAACTAAATTAGAATAGCTGTTTTTGGTAAGAATAATACACATAATGAATTCCACATAAACGTTCTGGCCACTGCAGCTCAGAAGATGCATATATGTGTTTGTATCATTGCAAGTCAGGCTCTCGGGAACTGTGGGATTACAGCAGGAGCATCTAGCCCAGCAATAAACGGTCTGCATGAACTAATTCACTCTGACTCATGAATACTGTGGGCAACCAGCACAAATTCAAGCCATTAGTGTACTTTGTCTCAGCCACATAAGGCATGTGATGTGAGTATCATGACCGTAATCATCTCACGCTGTGTGTGTGTGTGTGGGTGTGTGCACATCACTGTCAAACATGAATGCAAGTGGTTGTTTGTGGAAGGAAGTAGAGAGCAGAGGAGGAAAGGATTTCTCACATAGAAGTGCGGCACAGTAGTCTATATCTTCCACTTTCTCACTCGACTGTGGTCTAATGTAATCATTAATACATCGAGTGGTGATGCATCTCTGACAGCCTGTTGCATCCGTCTCACCATGAAGGC